AAAAGTCTTTGTGACGGTAATGCCTTATAAAGTCCGTTTCATGTTATGACTGTGGATGAAAATTTGTGTGTGTGTGTGTGTGTGAGTGTGTGTGTGTGTGTGTGTGTGTGTGTGTGTGTGTGTGTGTGTGTGTGTGTGTGTGTGTGTGTGTGTGTGTGTGTGTGTGTGTGTGTGTGTGTGTGTGTGTGTGTGTGTGTGTGTGTGTGTGTGTGTGTAGGCTATGTATATCTAAGAAGACCATTAGTTACATTAGTCTGTTTATTAATTTGGGGCGCTCGGGTGTTGCAATTTTGAGATTATACATTTAAAATCCTTTCGTTATAACTAATCATAATCACCTAAAGAATTCAGTTAAAACAGCAACACATTTTTTAAAACCAACATTAAAACAAATTTCTGATATCATGACAGCAAATCTCAGACAATTCACCAATTCATCCTAGTGTTAGAAGTGTACTGTACTGCAGCGCCCCTTGTGTGAAAGCGTGTAAGTGTACTGTAGTGTGGCGTGGTGGTCAATGTGCAAGTGTGACCTACCTCTCACACTGGCGGAGAGTCCATGACGCAATGATCCAGAGTGAAACCATGAACACCAACAACACAGTGCCTGGACAGATGGTCATTAGCGTTTTGAGGACAAACCGCGTGTTGAAGTTGATGCGGTTGAGAGCGCCAATACTTCTCGAGGAAGCGTCGGTGAAGAGCTGGGAAAGAGAGAGCGAATACGAGTCAAAAGAGAGAAAGAGAGAATAACAATGATGACAATCAGAAAAATAGCTAGAGAGCGAATACGAGTTAAAAGAGTTTCTATCAGAAAATAGCTAGAGAGCGAATACGAGTTAAAAGAGAGAGAGAGAGAGAAAAAAAATGTTGACAGAAAAATAGCTTAAATAAACAAATAAGGTGGAGGAAAGAGAAAGAGAAAAATAAAATGGATCCTGGAGTGAAGAGCTGCGAGAGAATGAATAAAATCCAGAAAAAAAACCCGCAGAAATGAACATAATACAAATGGACATCGAATCAAAGGTAACAAAGACAAACAATCAGACCCAAACACAAAGGAAACAACAAGACTGAAATAAAAGCAAACGCAGAGACAGAAGGCACAGAGGAAGGGGGTCGTTAACGTCTTCGGAGGTGATTCACGAAGTGGTGTATAAAGTTCCCCTTCTCTGGAGACATCAAAAAAATATGTGGGTCAGACGCCAGCATAATTCCTGGGGTGAGGGGAGAGGAGCATGAGGGGCAAGAAGGAAGGAGGTGGAATACCAAATAAAGATTAGATATATGCGTGGGAACAAGGGGTAGGGAGCTAGGCCTCCGGCGTCGACCGCAGGCCCTCTTAAACAACAAGAATGAGATGTGGGGAGGAAAGTCCTCGCGGGTTTATCATCTGGCTCGAGTCTCCTGGACGAAGACCTCGCCAAGACCCTAAGCGTTTTTATGCCTTATCCTATTGAACCATTAGTTTGAGGAGGATCTCGCGAGCGCCGAGTTGTCCTTGAGTACCTCCGGATCCTACAGGAAGCCAGGGATCTCGTCGCTGAGTTTGCTTATGCTAGGAGAGGTTAGATAGTATTGAAGGCCCTTTAGGATGGTTTTAGTGTGACAAGATGGTATTCCACATGATCGCCCTTCCCATAATGACAAGAGGCCCGAGCCTCTTATTAGTGTCTCAGAATCGAGAGAAAGGTCCTAGGGCAATGAGGACTACATACCCTTTTACATTAAACAGCATAATTGCCATTCAGTTCTTGTGACATGCCCTACTTAGTATACTAAACACACTAATGCATCAAGAGTGCGTCACAAATGCCTTTCACTAACATGTCTCTTCCCATAGTTTCTCCTACATTCACACGCTGTCCATAGTGTCCACCCCTTCAAAAAGTCCTCCCTCCTTACATGCCCCTCCCTACAAGGCCCATTACTTGCATAACCCTTGCCATAATGCCCCTACACACAGGCTACTCCCTACAGGGCCTCCTACTTATATAACCCTTCTCCACGGCCCCTCTGACTCACACAGTGTCTCCTACTTACACATAATACCCCTTTACTTGGCACACCCCTTCCCACAGGGTCTACCCACACACATCCCTTCCCACAGGATCTCCTACTTATACACCTCTTCCCACAAGGTCTCCTACATACACACCCCTTCCCACAGGGTCTGCTACCCACACACACCCCTTCCCACAGGGTCTGCTACCCACACACACCCCTTCCCACAGCCCCCACTAACCTTAGAGTGTAGCAACATGACTCGACATATAAGGTAGAGCCGCAGGAACATTGGCAGGGAGAGCGTGATGTCGATCGGAACCCACTGGGAGTCGACCACCCCGCCCTGGTTGGAGAGTTTCGTGGTCCAGAAGAAGGAATATTCGCCCGGGATAGGATGGACTGCGCAGATCAGGAGCTCCATCACTATCCGCGCTATCCTTTGCCACGTCATTGCGATGCGCCAGTCGTCGGCGCAGTTGTCAATCATGAATAACTGTTGAGGAAAACGGGTGTTAAGATTGCGTGTGCGGGGGTGGGGGTGGGGTTGGTGTAGGGGAGAGGAACGGGATTTATAAGTGATGTAGCAAATGTGAATACATATATAGATATGTATGCATATATATATGTACAAACACACACAGAAACATATACATACACACACGCACACACACACCACACACACACACACACACACCACACACACACACACACACACACACACACACACACACACACACACACACACACACACACACACACACACATAACTCACACACACATATATAAACATGATATCGCAAATTCCAACAGAAATGTAGACCTACACTGCGGACCAAGTATCTATATGTATAGATATAGAAAAAAAAAAAAAAATAAAACGACCAAATCCGCTTCTAGTAAAACGACAAAAAATCCCGCTGGACATAAAGCATAATAAACGACCATCCAATAAAAAAACAGGAAAACAAACAGCATATATGATGGCGATAAATGGCGCTCTGAAAATGGCCACGAGATCACAAAGTATCGGTACCTCACTGACGGGTCCTGAAAAAAAAAAAAAAAAAAAAAAAAAAGGTGTCTCTCACTGAACCTCAAAAAAAGAAGAAAAAAAAAAAAAGAAAAATGTCTCTCTCACTGACCTCAAAAAAGAAGAAGAAGAAGAAAAAAAAGAAGAAAAAAAAGAAAAAAAGTGTAAGGCTTAAATGAGTGATGTTGACAGGGTTGTGGATGGGAAAAAAACAGATGAGATCTGCTCTAGACAGGGGAAAAGGACTGCTATTGGCAAGGGTGATGGAGAACGCTCAAACTACTGAGATAATTGGTCATACAAATATATATCATATAACCTACGTGGCCGAACTGGTCAAGGAATTAAGTACACATGAAGGGACCTTAAAAAAATAATCAAAATCTTGAATATTAACGAGGAAAGTAAAGCCATCAGTTTATTATTCATCAAGAACATTAAAAATTGGCAAGGATGATTCGATGTTATTGAGGTTTCACTATTTAATACGTTTACATTCTAAATAGGAATAAAGAAGAATAAAGGAGGTTCTGTTTCCATGTGTCCACATAAGCACACACAACCATGCTGTCATAATTATCTGTTAGTAGATCAATAGCTAATTAACGTAACTTCAAAACTGTAAAATTCTCTTCAACTAATCAAAGAATTTTAAGTTGGAGAGATAGTTATGTTGTTCTTTTTTTTTTCTTTTCCCAGGAAAGTAACATTTGTACGTTGAGGTCATATTTTGTTTCTGTGATTTTGAAAAAAAAAAATCGTTAGAGATGTACAGTTTGTATTTTGAATATTAATCTATACACAATTTGTATATTAAATATCTCTTTATACAGTTAATAGATTTATTTTATTTTTATTATCATCAATTAAAAAATATTACCTGTTCATAAGGAAAATATCTCATCTACACCGAAATAAAATACAATTTCCTGCATAAATCTACAGTAAGATACTTCGATATACCATCAAACGATGTCTCTGAAGCAGTCTTTGTATTTCTTGGAGACGCGACTGAAGTCTGACCTTCAGCCTTGAAATATTGAATCTGAAGGTATTCTCGTCTACAACCTTCTTCTGATATTTCTTCGAGGTCGATAAAGGGATTATTTTCGAATCTGCTAGACATAATGACAGAGAAGTTGAATTTGTTATTTTCTTGGTTTATTTATCTATTTATTTATTTATTCTTAACTTTTAAAGTTTGTCTTAACGTTTATTATCTTTTCGTAACATTTATTATTTTTTGTATCTTTTGTTTCATGATATTATTTATTTTCCTAACATTTTATTCGCATTTTTTAAATTTCCAAAACATTTATTCTTAACTTTTAAAGTTTGTCTTAACGTAACATTTATTATTTTTGTATCTTTTGTTTTATGATATTTATCATTTTTCATTACTTACATTTATGGAAAAAAATGAAAGTAATGTAAAACGATGAATATTCATTTTCATAACATAATTTTGTATAACATGTATAATTTTTCATAACAACGATCATTTTCATATTAACACTTATTCCTCATAAGACCTATCATTTATCATAGCATTTATTTCGTTCATTCGTATATCATTTTCCATAATCAAAACATCACATTTCTCCCTCGTAGTGTAGCAATTATCTAGTTATTGATTTCACACATCATTGTTCTGTTTCTGTGAATATATCAATGTCTAGAGATAACATATAGTTTAATCAAAGTCTAATCTTGGGCCGCCAGTTCTGATTGGATAATGAATGGCCAATCACGGAGCATCTGGGGACTCCTTGACCTCAAGATTATATAACGATATAAATGATTATATTTATTATAACGAAGGTCTCAAGTAACGGAAGTCTGAAGAATTTTTGTTGCATGTCGTTTTTTTTATGGATGGGTGGATAGATAGACAGATAGATAGGTAGATAGTAGATATTAAGATAGATAGATAGATAGATAGATAGATAGATAGATTGATAGATGATAGATTGATAGATTGATAGATTGATAGATAGATAGGTAGATAGATAGGGTTGATGATAGAGGATAGATAGATGGTGGGTGTGGTGGATGGATGGTGGATGGATGGATGGATGGATTGTGTGTATGATGCGTTTATGTTTATATGTAGGCAAGTATTAATGTATGCATTTCTGTGCGTTATATCTCCATCAGACGTACATAAAACTGCAATGTAATTCCGATGAAGCCTTAGCAATGAAACTCGTCAACTGCATTTACTGCTTTGTGATTTTTTTCTTTTTATTATTCTCATCCGTATGATATCGATCTTTGCAACTTTGCCTGTTTGCAATTCGGTGTTTATTGCATTTAAATCTAGTTAGTTTGGTGTATTACGTTGCGTATAATATCGTGGACCAAGAATTTATTGAGTTGGTGAGTTACGAACGAATTCAGGACTTTATGTACATGAAAGAATATCAAATGGAATATGTTATTTGCATATGAACTCTTATGTCTGGTAGGAGAGACTTGTTTATTTTCATTTTGAATGTTATTCTAAAGGAACATCAATATTTATGCAACAGTATAAAGATATCCAAGGTAAAGTTTTTTTTTTTTTTTTTTTTTTTTTTTTTTTTTTTTTTTTTTAAAACAGAATTTCTTTTCAATATTTTTCTTTTGCATATTCGCTTTGCAACTGACTGGAAGAAAGTACAAAGAACCTGATTAGTACTTTGTTTCATTCTACGCCAGGTGTACAAGACAGCTTACCTGAAGTTTATGGTAAAGTTAAATCAAAAATATAAATTCTTATATGCCAGCTTACTCACCCTGTTACATTCTACAGAGTGAAATATAATTATATCTTCACATATATCAAATACGGAGAAATTACATATATATTCGTCCTCAATACTACTGAAGGTACAAACTTCTTGTAGAACTGCCCTACAGCATTATGGAGAACAATTTTTTCTTGCAAAGTATATTACACAGTTGTATTATACAGACTATTGCACAGTTATGGTACAACTTTAGGATATGGCACAAGTTTAACTGCTCATATACCAGATGTTATAGAATAGTTTAATATCTATCCCAAACCAATGAAAAGGGGACAAACAGCAATTTCTCTGGAACTGCCAAACATGGTGTAATATACCTGTAGTTTGGTATATCTAATGATTATTCTTGGTTCGTTATTTCATACTTGAGAACGAGAATGAGTTACATGAAGTATATTAGGAAGTATGCTTAAGACCATAAAGATAAATTTTGCTAAGTAGAATGAGTATGTTGAATTTAATACTAATATATTCTTTATCATTATTACTAACGTTACTATGAGGCTACCATCAGCATCATTTTTGTCTTGATGGAAATAATGATAATAACAATAATAATGATATTGATAATGATATCGATGGTAATAATTCTACCAATGAAAAATATGTGAAGGATTAGGATAATAATAACGGTGGAATGCAACATTGGTGATTAAGGTGGATAATAGAAATATTAAAAACAGAACAGAAATAGCAATAACTATATGAATAGTAATGGGGATAACGATTAAAACAATTGCAAATAAACTTGATGTTTACGATAAAGGTGATGATATGAATTATCACGAGGTTGGTTGAAGATGTCTAGATATTTTCCAAACATGATGTATAGATAGATAGATAGATAGATAGATAGATAGATATATACATATATACATACATACATACATTATATATATATATATATATATATATATATATATATATATATTATATATATATATAATATATATATATATATATATATATATATATATATATATATATATATATATATATATATAGATGTATATGTATATGTATATCTATCTATCTATCTATCTAAAGAGGAAACAGAAAGTAGTATAGAGGAAATATGAAATAAGAAATTGATAAAATGAAACGAAACCTAAAAAAAAAACAATAATAATTACGTATGTCAGGAAAATGAAATAAAAATTAGTAATGGAAAAAAACATAAGCAGTATAATCATTGACTATTACTCTCTTATTAACAGACACGGAGATACAGTAGAGTGACAAATATGAGGAAAACAGTAAAAAAGTGAAAAATGGAAGAGAAAGAGGAGGAGGACGCAATAATTAAATAAGACGTTTTATTAAACACACAAACAGAACCCGTATATCAAAAATAGACATGAAACATTTACATCTATATTCTTACACCAAACCTCCTGTCCCTAATACGTCACTTTACGTCACTTTTACGTCACTTATACGTCATCAAAGTGTCAACGCAATGTCACTAAAACGTCTGTGATGTGCCTTCGGATTATCCTGAGCATGTTAGGCTCATTTCGTCGATATCACAAAAACATTTTTACCGCAGTGAGAAAAAGAGAGAAAATATATCTATTCATCTATCTACTTACCTATCTTTCTATCTGTATATCTATCTATATCCATTTATCTATTTTCTTAGTTATCTGTCTATCAATCAATCTACCTATC